TTTATCGTATTATTGCTGGTGTGACTTAACCAATTTGCATGTTTTGTTTCCGGCACTAAGATGTAGCGTTAAAATGGTTATTAATTAACATTCGTTAATGAGTGAGTGAGTGATGTGAGTGAGTGAGTGTGTGAGTGAGTGAGTGAGAGTGAGTGAGTGAGTGAGTGAGTGAGTGAGTGAGTGAGTGAGTGAGTGAGTGAGTGAGTGAGTGAGTGAGTGAGTGAGTGAGTGAGTGAGCTTCGGTGAGAGCATCGCTGTGTTCATAGAGTGTTGATGGATTGTGACGTTGACGTACACGTCGGCCAATAACGTCCCCGAAATTTTCAACAGGTAAACGATCTGAGTGCCATGACAGGGATGTTTTGCTTTTGGGGGAGTCAGCGGGTGAGTTTAGTTTTACGCCGCTTTTAGCAATATTCCAGCAATATCACGGCGGGCGACACCAGAAATGGGCTTCACACATTTTACCCATGTGGGGAATCGAATCCGGGTCTTCGGCGTGACGAGCGAACGCTTTAACCACGGGGCTACCCCGCCGCCCCAGTGTGATCGGAAAGGTAGCCTTAGATAAGTGTTCACATTGTGATCCAACATTTAGAAAAGACAAAGGTAAAAAAATATCTCACATGCAACTGACTAAACTTCACTGTGACCTGCATTAAATGTGCCTGTTTCCGACGTAATATATGAAGAAATTGGCATATCAATGAAATGGTAAAATAGCTTATCACTGACCTTCATTATGACCTTTACCTAAAGCGTGGAAAACTCGTCATGTTTTTCGATTTAGTCACCACCCGCAAGTAAACATGTACCAAGATTCATTTGGAACGGATCAAACTTGCCATGGACACGCTTCTCAAAGGGGCTTGGGGAAACATGAATATGGTCATCTGCAAAAAGGTATAAACATGAAGTGTAATTAATAGTAATTTATGGAATTAAGCAGTTAACATGCCATTACTCTGTCAGTGACCTTGACGATTACCTTGACCCTTGTCTTAATATGAATGTAAATATTGTAGAAAAGTACATGCAAATTACATCTGGAGAAACAAGGGAAAACGCAAAGGAACATGACATTTTCTTGACTCTCTGACATAACATACTATATGCTCTTTGAAACTGATTTAGGTGAGTGTCATTGGTAGAATGCACAAACGGAAAAACGGAAAAGGAAGAAATAATGTATTGAATAACAAGAACTGGAATAATGTAACGTATTGATTTCCGAAGCAAGGGTTAACCCAGAAATCGGTACTGGGAAATAATCACACACGATCAATAAACAAACAACACAGTATATTGAAATACACATGATTAGGTTTTCAATCATGAAAGTCAATGTGTCAATACAGATACGGCGGCAATACAGATAAGCCCTATTACACCAGCCAGTGCACTCGCGAATGTCAAGTATTTGCCAAAGTGGTGGGAAACCCACGCTTGTCGTAAGAGGCGACTAACGGGACCAGATAGTCAGGCTCGTTGACTCACGAATGTGAAGTATTTGTAACAGTGGTGGGAAACCCAGGCTTGTCGTAAGAGGCGACTAACGGGATCAGATAGCCAGGCTCGTTGACTCACGAATGTGAAGTATTTGTAAAAGTGGTGGGAAAACCCACGTTTGTCGTAAAAGGCGACTAACGGGATCAGATAGCCAGGCTCGTTGACTCACGAATGTCAAGTATTTGTAAAAGTGGTGGGAAAACCCACGCTTGTTGTAAAAGGCGACTAACGGGATCAGATTGCCAGGCTCGTTGACTCACGAATGTCAAGTATTTGTAACAGTGGTGGGAAAACCCACGCTTGTCGTAAAAGGCGACTAACGGCATCAGATAGCCAGGCTCGTTGACTCACGAATGTCAAGTATTTGTAAAAGTGGTGGGAAAACCCACGCTTGTCGTAAAAGGCGACTAACGGCATCAGATAGCCAGGCTCGTTGACTCACGAATGTCAAGTATTTTAACAGTGGTGGGAAACCCAGGCTTGTCATAAGAGGCGACTAACGGGATCAGATAGTCAGGCTCGTTGACTCACTAATGTCAAGTATTTGTAAAAGTGGTAGGAAACCCAGGCTTGTCGTAAGAGGCGACTAACGGGATCAGATAGTCAGGCTCGCTGACTTGGTTGACACATGCCATCGGTTCCCAATTGCGCAGATTGATGCTGATGAAGCCAATCATTGTATTTTCTGTTCCAGATACGATTATTTACTTACCGCCGTCATATTGCTGGGTTATAGTTAAAACGGCACCCCAGCAAAACGGCACCAAATGTGTTTGGCGAAAACGGCATCATTTTGGCGAAAACGGCAACTGATTTCAGTTGAGTAAATGTACTTAAAACATCAAAGGTTGCAGTGTTTTCATGCTAAATTGGAATGCTTTTCCAATCACTGTCGGCACAGTAGATGTATTTACTATCTAACCTGAAATATCCACCATGACAAACTAGTTTTCCCCATAAGATTTTAGTTGGTGCCGTTTTCGCCATAAGATTTGTAGCCGTTTTCGCCAAGTGGAGGTTCCGTTATGTCCAAATGGTGCCGTTCTCGCCAGGTGCCGTTTTGCTGTGGTGACGTTTTAGGTGGCGTTAAACAACAACCAAGCTGAATATCTCGAATGAGACAAGACTTCCCTTTTTGAATACAGGAAGTCTGAGTGAGTGAGTGAGTGAGTTTACTTTAACGTCGTTTTTAGCAATATTCCAGCAATATCACGGCGGGGACTTCACACATTCTTCCGGTGTGGGGAATCGAACCCGGGTCTTCAGCGTGGCGATTTAACTACTAGGCTATCCCTCCGCCCCCTGTCCGAACACGAACTCAACATACTACAGTGTGATATAATTAACAATCGTATTCTAAAATTAGCTAAGTTCACTTTTAATACAATTCGCTACAAAGGCATTACAGTGACAGTAGGATACGAAAGCAGTGATTTTTGCAATAAAGACGAATGTGGAAAAATTCACCTCACAGCAAGAATGGTCAACTTTCCAATACAAAGCCCAGACTGATTATCCAGGGTAAGAATGATCTCTACACAATTTGCTGGTCTTCTTGTAATTTGAGATCTAAGACAAGAATTGACTCACCTTCTAAACATAAGACTATGACGCTAGAAGATACTCCAACTTTCTGGGTCAGAATATACTGGAAACGCCCACAGGGTTGTAGTACCCTGCAGTACCTTCCAGAACTCTGTCTAAATACAGAACACAACTGTTGTGTGCTTTACAGTGTTATACACCTGGAACATTATCACACAACGGTGTGTTCCCAGAGTGGCTTCTCTGTATATTATGTAATAACCAAACTCGGGGTCCACTCCGGGACAAGTCGTCAAGAAGGTGAACATGGGGGCCAGTGTGGTTTACTCCCACTTTGCCCACTTTTTAAAATGGGCAGAGTTAAAACAGCAGATGTATTAGGGTATAGCCTGCACCAGGCTGGTGGGCAGTAGTATATATATATGTGTATAATCTACTTAAGTCATAAACTACTAGTACATACTTGATTCATGAACTAGTATGTAACTGGCATTAACTCAGCAAGACATAAGTGTAATGAGTTTGAAATAATAATTTCCTAACATACAAGTGATATGCATCTTAAGAAACATCAGTATGAGTAACATCAATACCATGTCATATACATGGTGATATACGGAAGGAAGTTTGCTGCTTCATCACGGGAACGTAGATATGCGAAAAATTAAACAAGCATAAGTAAAAATGATAAATAGCATCGTGAAAAACAATCTGAGAAACCTGAGGTTGCAATTATAACATTGGACATGTTGTTCTTACATGTAAGGCCAGACCAATTTTATTTTTTTGCTTTACAGATCCGCCGGTGGTATTTTTTGAAGAATAAGAAAAAAAATCCCTGCTCAAAAACAAAAAACCTGATGTTTTTATTGGCCAGAAATGTAAACTTACCCAAAAATATTTTTTCATTGTTTTTTTACCCCATATACACTTCATAAATTGCCAAAAGTGAAATACTTTAGTATTTAAAAGGAATAGTACTTTGACTGGTGAATTTTGATTTTTTTCACTCCTGCCTTTAGGTTTTCTGAGGACAAACATCCATAAAACAAGAAATAAAATTAGACTATAACTAATCCCCCTATTGTTCTACGGGTGACTTCATTTTGTTGTTTTAAGAAAAGTGGGCACAGAGGGGGTATACCGCCAGTGTGGGAACGGTTTATTCCCAGGAAGGGGACTCGTAAAAACACAGGAAGTGACGCGTGCAAGGATAATCACTGTGGTCGAAGTTGGAGAACAAAAGATGTTTCTTGTGATCACAAGCATCTGGGCAAGTGTGAATACGTAAATGGAAAAGTACACGAAACTTATTAGTTGTTAAAACAAAGAGTTAATCTGCTACTGTGAGTAGAAGGTGACTGCTGATGCTGTTAGCAAAGTGATAACTTCAGAGTACAAAGTGAAAGTCTGGTTATCATTAATGGAAGTTTGTGTAATAATTTATCCTATATTTTCTTGTTTTCCTATGTTGTTGGCTGCTGGTGTGATTTCTCAGTTAGATGAGGAGGAAGTTTGTGTAATAATTTATCCTTTTTTGTGTGTTTATCCTTTCTTCTATTTATGCAATAAGAACACTTCTGGGTGAATGTTGGTCATATCAACAATGGTTCTAATTGGAGATGAATATTCATTTGAAGCTCTGGCTTCTTTGATACTAGAGCGTCACTGGAATAAATTTGAATGAGTTCATTAAGAGCGTGATAAAAGATTCACGCCAGTTGGGACACAAATAAGTATTTGAGAGTGTTCAAGTGTCTCTGGATGCTCCGTGAACACAACATTAATTCAAACAGCTCAATGTTCCTTTCAACAAACAACTTACAATACATCGCCTTCGGAATAATACCTGACCCAACAAGTGAATTCTACAACGTCCCAATAGAAACAGTCCAGACATGTCTTGACGTCTCGTGGGACTGTGTTCCCTAAATATTGATTGGTAGCTTCTGTCTGTTCTACATCAATTCTGAAGCCTTCCAGTTACACGGTACTTTTTCTTCTCTAGAAACAGTTTGATAAGTGCCATGGTGTCAGACAGGGAGCCATAATCTGACATTGTTCTTTCGTACTAAATGAAAAATAAACTTTAGACGTCCAAATTCTGAAGACAGAGGACAACCGTTATACGAAAGGATGAAGATTACTTGGAATGTTATAACGACATTCCTGTTTTTAGTTCAGGAAGTTTTTGGAAGTGATTGCGGCGAAAGTGATCATGAGTTTCAGAAAATAGGACGAATTCTTCACCCTAAGAGTAATGGTGGCTTCCTTCTGACCACCACGGCCATTAATGTGGATTGTGCTTCTCAGTGTTGGCGGAAAGAGCAGTGCTGGTCATACTATCACAATCCACATGACCAGGCGTGTTTCCTCGCCTCCAGATATCAGACCGCTGTGCCGGACACGTCTTTCACAGATACCAGTTCCAACTACTTTGACCTGTACAGGAAGCCAGGTAACCAAGGTTATACTCCGCCGTTTCGATAAATTGGGCTAGTTTCAGAGAAAAAAAATATTTTAAAAGTACATCATAATAATTCATTCCTGGGAGTCATATGGTGAAAGCACTGTAAATTCCCATGCATATTATAACTGTCAATAGGTATTTGGAAATGTATCTGCTCTTTTTGTACTCAATATTGATATCCGTTAAACCAAAGGAATATTTTCTAAATTTCTTTCACCAAGAGTGAAAATATTAGAGATGCAGAATTTGTTTTAATTGTGATGGTATTGTTGGTTTTCTGAGAAGATTCTATACTAATTTGTTAAATATGTTTTCATCAAGACGACCTTTGGCTTTGAATCTCTCTGACATATGTTTGCCAGCCATTTGGCCCAACGTCTTCGCTAACCCAACGTGCCCTAAATGCTCTAACCTCAAAACTGACAAAGGTGTTCCCTGTGAGAAAGTAATTTATTTCACATCTTGACATGCCTTCACTTTCGACAAATTGTTCAGACCTTTAAAGGCACTATGTCACATCACACATCTCTAAAAATAAATCATGCATTTCTCTCAATAATACTATCAGCCTTCAGGGAAGCTACCATATAAATTTATTCCATAAATAATTACGTATTTATATTATAATATTTAATTAGAAAGTTCGAATGAATTATTGCAACTTTGTAATCGACTCTCGAGCCCTCTACCGACTGAACATTATTTCAAGCACAAACCATATAGTTATGTCCCTTGGAGCGCTATTTAAGAATAGCCTACGCACAACTTGTGACTGAAACCAGTTCGGCAAACACCGACAACACCGTTTGCGACAGTTTTCTATGTATGGAGCAATTGTTAACATTCCATTATAGCAAGTGCTCTCTTTTTGGAAGCTGTTCGCCTCGAAGTTTCAATTATCGATTTCAGGCAAGTCGTAATGGATAATAAGTCTTTTGTTGCATCAATAGGAAGATAAAGTAAGTGCACATGCCCCAATATCTATTATATAGGTAAAAATGTTGTCGAAAATTTGTGACATTGTGCCTTTACAGATATAGATGCGAAGATATCTATGGTCACAACGTAAAAATGTACAGATGCTGTAAAGAGCGTCATAGAACCAAGCTCAATGACTCACCCACATTCAGCTGACAGATGTAGATGTAACTGGAATGCTTTTAAATGATACTATCGTATTCTGAATGAGTTATATTAAAACTATTTTTACAGGTGGGTACTCTACTTGCAAGGAACTTCAACTGGCCAACCCAAGCGCAACCGATGGGGATTATTGGCTGTATCCCACAGCAAGTCATGTCCACTACAATATTGTCAAGATGTACTGCTACGCCATGGGGACCAGCAGTCCGCGAGAGTTTATTACTCTACCCACGCCCAACCGAGGGGAATATCCAAATGAGACTTACCAAAAATGCCTTACTCATGTCTACTCCCTAACGGGTTGCCCTGGAAGCCAGGGTGTCTATATCTACAGTAAAATAGAGATCGACCCAACTGTAAGTCACATCATGGTATTGATTGATGCTTGTGCACCTTTGCGGGGACCTTTCACACACGCTTACTTAATGGCACTCACTTTAGGGGCGGTGGGGTAGCCTAGTGGTAAAAGCGTCCGCTCGTCACGCTTAAGACCTGGGTTCGATTCCCCACGAGTACAATGTGTTTAGCCCATTTCTGGTGTCCCCCGCCGAGATATTGCTGGAATATTGCTAAAGCGGCGTAAAACCACACTAACTCACTTTAAATGATACGTTGGTCCCTGGTGATTTGGGCAACGGCTACAACAGGGTGACGTGGTGGGTGGGCCACTGTGCTACACGTTCTGTTTGCAATATTCAAGCTTTTGGGCGGCGGTCTGCAAATAATCGATTCTGGACCAGATAATCCAGTGATCAACAGCCTGATCTACGCAATCGAAATACGGTGACGTTTAAACAAGCTCAGCGAGCCTATTAATGGTTATGTCAAGCATGGGCTCATTACGCTCACTTTAATCTGTTTGGAACATAATCGAAACTGATAACTTCCTGACTTGCACCTTTTGAATGGGATATGGCAGACCTGTCAACTATCACGCCTTTGTCTTAAGACCCACGCTGTAATTACTTCCGACAAAACTGATATATCTCAAGCCAAAATTCAGTATCCACATTTTGACCACTTAACATCACAAAATAAGCCTGAATGCATTGTTTTTGTTGAATTTGCAATTATGAGTTGGCCCACCACCAGGTTCCACCCTTGACCCTGCCGGACCGGCCTGAAGCATCTCAAGCTTTTTCCTTTTTTCGGGTTGGAAGCTATAAACATGCTGCATTGTGAGCACTCCCAGGTTTGCTGAGTGTAACTATGCTGATTTCAGGGTAGAACCGCTCCCTGTATACACTGAATGTTACGTAGTTGGCTTTCTGCGGTTCTTGTCTCCCAAAAGGATTTCGCAGGTGAAACAATCATCGGCACCCATTGCTCTTTTCCCGGCAGAACAGGTCCCCATTTCTCAATGACTATCACCACGTAGGAATTTTACATCTGAGTAGGTAACCAGCAGCAGTTCTAGTGCGTGTTATCCTGAAGGGATTTCCTGACAGATAGATCCCCAGTATGAAATATTGTCTTCCTGTAGAATTTCATTTACAGACAGGGACTCACGTACAGAATGCTTGTGACGACGTGAGGACACCGAGGCAGGATAAATACCCCAGAGTCCATGACTGTCGTAAGAGTCTTCTTTGGCGGATCGGTTATTAATAATGTATGCTCTGGCTCTGTCGAATTTCGTTTTGTTAAATACCGATTTTCCTGCTCCAGACTTACCCTTGAACATATTGCTGTGGCATAGCTTGGATATTGCTAACTGAGGCATATACTCTACAAATATATTCCCTTTCAGCGGAAGTGAGTCGCATTTTGTTGACATTCATTTTGACGTCTTTAAATGGCATTCTAGAAGTTGGGCAGATGAAAAATGAGGACTAATTCTATGGATATACAACTTCTTTATAAGCGACGTTTCGAAATAAATTTTAATTTTAAATTTTAATGTCGTTGTCAAGCACACCAAAGTGGAGTACCAAACTCCCTTACTCACTCGGTCTTTTTCTTATATCTGCAGACCATGAATGTGAACAGGGCGACCAGAGCCTTCATGACAGGTTCCGGGAAGTCACGTGACTACGCGTGGGTTGGAGATTGTTACACTGAGCTTGACAATAACTACACGTGCGGACCCAAAGGAACTTTCACCATCAACACCTCCGGCACAGGTCTTATTGTCGACCCAGCGGTAAGCTTGGAAATACTACGTTTTGTTTTTTGTTTGTCTGTTATTTAACGCCGCACTCAGCAATGTTCCAGCTATATGGTGGCGGTCTGTAAATAATCGAGCCTGGATAAGTCAACCCTGTGATCAAAAGCATGAGCATCGATCTACGCAACTGGGATACGATGACATGTGTCAACCAAGTCAGCGAGTCTGACCACCCGATTCCGTTAGTCGCCTCTTACAACAAAATAAAACAACAACAAAACAAAACAAAAACACAACCTACGTAGACCAGTTACAAAATAGTATTTGGGAATCAATGAACTATCTTTAAAATTTCCCATTAGCCCCACTGGATTTAACAAAATTGAAAATTTGTTTGAAATCAGAAAACACTGTTGAAGGTAATCAGTGCATAGAGGTTATGAATGCTTTCAAAGCTACCTTCTCTAATACAATATGCATGGCCATTTTAACTTTTGAGCCAAAAATCAATGTACACACAGAGTCGTGAAGAGTACACAAAATGCTGATGTCCATGAAAGCAAGACGTTTGAGAACGCAAGGTTTACTGAGTCACTGGGGGCGGTGGTGTAGCCTAGTGGTTAGAGCGTTAGCTTGTTAGTCGCCTTTAACGACAAGCCTGGGTTGTCGAAGACCAGTTCTAACCCGGACCTTCACGGGTCTGGAAATTCTACGAAGTACAAAGGTTCACCAGGTTTACCATTAGACCATTTGCGCCTTTCCGTTCAGTTTCAGTACTCAGTTTGAGAAACAAATTATTTCATTTAATTACCTGCATGGCGCTCACCATAAAGGAACGAAACCAGGTTTGGCACATTGTGTGTGGATCGGTTATCCATACGCCAGGTGTTCTGGCGCAATAAAATCAACATAACACCGGGCTGAACAGCCGGGCCAAAGGAAGCATGTCCCAATGTTTGATATGGGGAATAGGGGCGGTGGGGTAGCCTAGTGGTCAAAGCGTTCGCTCGTCACGCCGAAGACCAGGGTTCGATTCCCCACATGGGTACAAAGTTAGTAGCCCATTTCTGGTGTCCCACGCCGTGATATTGCTGGAATATTGCTAAAAGCGGCGTAAAAGCTCACCCACTCGCTCACTGATAAGGGGAATACCAACACAGTGGATTTGTCTTTGAGGTCACATGTCATGACATGTCATACCATCATCCCACCACCACATGGATGCACTTCCGGACAGCATCATGGCGCCAGTCGCCCCCTTCCCCACCCAACCCATTCGTAACTACTCGCCTCTTTCCGTAACAAGAAGACTCGTCCCTGTACAGTACGCCATTATTGCCAAGAATCGTGGCAAACCAATCAAACTGCGCTTAGTAAAATGTTAAATGAGGTCAAATAGTTTCTTTGCGGTTATCGATGGTCATGTGGACCACAATATGACAACAAATATGACAACGAATATGCTCCTGAGACTGACTCGAGATACTGACACAGTCACGGGTACAATGCCAATACAGAACTACAACCCAATACATGGCTAATTCATCAGACTCAACTTTGGTTGGTTCTCATTTCCAAACATCAACCTCTTCCAGTTGAAAATCGTTAGGTGTGTTGCTGTGCCTCTGTTCACAGTCCTACAACACGTTCCTTCTTAAAGCATAAATAACCATGTGAGTTATTCCCAGGTTTGTTTACGCTTCGCTTCTTTCACGATCACGTGAATAAATCAGGCCTCTCTTTGGTGCTGTCACAAGTGGACTCCCTGGGCCATGAAGTGCACACATGACATCGCATCGCCCCAAAAAAGTAAAAAATGTTACGGGGAATGTAGGGGTAACCATTCCTTATAAATATTGTACAAGCAATTTGGAACGAGTGAGTGAGTTGGGTTTTACGCCGCTTTTAGCAATACAATAATAATAAGTCATCTTCTGTAGCGCACAGTCTCCAAACAGGTGTCCTCCCATTACGCTGACAGCCAGTTCGCAGACACCTTAAAACAACAACATTTACGGTTATCTACTACCTGTTACTTGTTGTATCATATAAATCAAATAAACACAAATGTAAACCTAAATATTATTCACTTAATTACGACTTATTTAGAATATATTTAAAATATGACACATCATGTCAATGTGGCCATGGATGTGAGAATGTTTTTCATTACTTCCTTGAAAGTCCACTGTATACTACTCAAAGACATAAACTGTTACAATCTTTAGAAAGTATTGTTAAAATTAGAACACTGATTGGTATTAATCGTAAATTACATGGCAATGCAGGTGTCTCATGTACTGCAAATCAGAGGGGCGGCTCGGGGAATACAACCTTACCCAGGACTGATAAAACCCCGTATTTCCCTCGACACGATGTGATAACTTATAATGCATAACATAAAGTGTGCTTTAGGTGAGTCTTACCTTTAATGGGTAGTATATAATTGATTATGTATGTGCGTTAAATAACGCATGAGCTCAGAAATACTGATGCACCACAAGACAGGAATCTGTAAACTCTTAGCCATTGATGCTTTTCTTCTGAAACAATAGAATGACGTCAAAAAAAACTTAGTTTATCTCTTCCGACACGGTGTTGAGGCGATGTATATTATGCATATGCACAGAGTGAGTTTTCGCTACGGTAGGATGCCAATCTAAAACATGGGATTGGTACCACACGGCATCGGGATTACTCGTAACTGTCACTGAACAGCATCATTCGTCACCACTCGCCCCTTTCCGTAACCTCCATGAAGACGCTATTCGACTGGTCCCGGAATAACACGAGTTGGTCACGAATGTGAACAGCATGTTTACCCGTAACCTTCGTAATTGTCCGTGATCCATTCGACCCTTTCCGTTCATTTCCGCAATGTCTTCGGCATGACACGATAAATATGCACAGATCTTATTAGACTGGTGTGCCTGTCCAGGAGCGCTGCTTTGTGCAATCCGACAAGTGGTGAAGGGCAGGGTACCAGTCGACAAATTTACTAGTGTCGTAATGTTCAGTGTGTAGGTTAGTAGGTTAGTGGCCGCGAGTTCGCGTCCGACGGAATCTCACTAAACAAGGTGCTTATCTTAGAGAAGTAGGAGAACTTGTGATGCTTTATTCCGAAGGTAGTCCATAAAACATAATACTTATTATGCCCTCTACCTAAAAACATTAGTGACAAATTAAATTGTTTCTTTACTGTCATCTTCACGTATTGATTTTGTACAGGTGGCAGCCGTTCCAGGTGCCACAAGTCGAGATGCATAGTTACCTCCCTTCGGCGTGCCAGGAACCTCTAATCATGGACTCGAATCTCGGGTCGCCCTGATAATGTTTCGAAGTTCAACATTATACCCATTATCACGTTTAAAATCAGCATTACTGCTGACTCTCCTTCCACGCTGATTAGGGGCGATGGGGTAGCCGGGTTCGATTCCCCACATGGGTACAGTGTGTGAAGCCCATTTCTGGTGCCCTCCGCCGTGATATTGTTGTAATATTGTTAAAAGCGGCGTAAAACTAAACTCACTCACTCACACCGCAATGATTAGACACAGTGTTCCATGTTCCATCCTACTCGCTCGACATATCTCATATTTCAGCTGACGTGGAAGAGGGCAGGATACAAGTCCAAAGTAGTGATGACGAAGTCAGACGGTGACGCCGTCATCAACCTCATCTGCGGCGGATACCCGGGCTCATGTGCCCCTCTCTATCAGATGAAACTTTACATCAGCACGGCAAACTGTAAGTATTTGCTACGGAGCCGTGCCCTGGCTTGGTGTCATTAAGTGATGTTTAATTGCAAATATAACGTCTTCGCTGACAACACCCGTGAAGGTCCGGGTTAGAATGAACCGTCAGTAACCCATGCTTGTCGTAAGAGGCGACTAACGGGATCGGGTGGCTTGGTTGACACATGTCATCGGTTCCCATCGGTATTAGCAAAGATTGGTCACGCCACACTCTGCCAAGATGCCCAGACAGCCTGCACGATCCGTCAACAGAATTAACAAAAAAAGGCGTTTCCTAAAATAAAGAAACTACAAGTCCTTGTCACAAGAGTGAGTGAGTACGGTTTTCTGTCGATTTTAGCAATATTCCAGCAATATTACGGCGGGGGCCACCAGAAATGAGGTGAGGTGAAATTGGGTTTTACGTCGTGCTTGAGAATATTTCGCTCATATGACGACGTGCATGCGTGTGTATGTGTATGTGCGGCTGCCCACTGAGATACCATGCCGCAGTGAAGCATGAATACCCCACTCAGACACATTGTACTGACTCCGAGCCGACCAGTCCTTGTACCCATTAATGCCGAGCGCCAGGCAGGGACCAACAAGTACCATATTTTAACGTCTTTTGGTATGACGCGGCTGGGGATCGAACCCGCGACCTTCCGCACTCACGTACGTACGTAAACTTATCCGCATAACAATAAGTCCGTCTGGTTATTTAAATCTGTGGCATGTATTTAATCAAAAGGTAGTTTGTTACAAAGTTACAACGTGTCAGTTCCACACACAACGCTAGCCTCGAGTATTGTCAGAGAGAGTAGTATTTTTGCCCAGATTTGAGATGAATAAATAAATGAATAAATGAATAAATGAATAAATGAATAAATAAATAAGAGCATGTTTATCAGGACATGGTTATTATGTCCAGCCTACAATTTTGAACTTAAATTTGATGCAAACATATAATGTGTATAAATCAATTCCGACCCACAAGTATGGAATGGCTCTGGCAAACAAAACTGCCCTTTGGCTGTATTTCGTAATAGTAGATATGTAATGTTTCAACCAGGCAAGTTTATAAACATTTCAATATGATTATTGCCATTTTTCTCCCCGATCTCACAACACTATCCTTGTATTTCGTAATTGATAGTAGATATGTAATGTTTCAACCAGGCAATTTCATAAACATATCAATGTGAATATTGCCATTTTTCTCCCCGATTTCACAACATTATCCTTGTATTTCGTAATGTATAGTACATAGTAGACATGTAATATTTTGCAACAAGGCAGTTTTATAAATATATCGATATAAATATTCACATTCCTCTTCCCGATAATCCTCATTAAGCTGTAGGGATGCCTCGATACATCGATGCATCGATACTTTTTCTAAGACGATACAATTATCGATACATTCAAAACCGTATCGATATTTAGTTTTGAAAGTATAGGTTTAAATTCGTTTACATTTTGCAATTGTATCATGTTTTTGTTCATTGAGTTATAAATGATTATTTTTCATGCACAAAGATGGGAAATTAGAACTTTTTAATCTCTGAGAATCAAAAATGTTGATCTTTTCATGGACAATTATAAAATATGTAATATTAATGTTCAAAATGTTACTAAATCTACGCAATAATGCCGCGAAAATAGGTATCGTGATACGTATGGAATCGTGACATGGGTATCGTGATACGTATCGATTCATGAAACTTATGTATCGTGACATCCCAGTTAAGCTGACAATATTCCACACAGGTCCCTGTACATCCTCCCCCACATACTAACATTGACCCAGGTAGAACCGGAACTAATTAAGCCCTTATTGTAAATATTCTCACTGTTACCTTACGTGTTCTCAAAATGGCATCTATTTAAAATCAGCTGGATTGGCTTCGTCACATTTAAACTAAGAGTCAATAATTCCCTGTGTAAAAAGACTTTCCAGTCACAAGTCCCTTCCTTTCAAATCCCACCTAACAAAAATATGATATAATTGATGATTAAAACAATCATCTTATGTTCATTGCTGTGTCGCAAACTCTTCTAATACCATTCTGAATATTTTAGCATTTCCTTTTCAACAACTGAACAATAGATAACGTCTGATTTGACTTTTCCCAACACAATAACAGCATCCGCAATTAACCTCGGAATTTTGTTTCCATTCTTTACCCTGCAAATGTTACAGGATCAATGTTAAAGGTAATAAGTCAAAATGCTTCTCAAAAGCATAAATTAAATGTGTGTATCCATTGAGATATCCAGAGGCAATGTTGATTGGAGACTTGCTTAATGAACAAAATGTCTAGAGACCTAGTTCCTGGCACGCAGGCATATGCCAAATTATGCATGCGACAAACAACGTCACTGATGCTGAGGTTGCACAGGTGCTTTCAGTCGTACAATCCTCATTGGGAAAAGGTGTTGTCGTCACCAGTTCTACGTCGCCGGGGTCGTCTATATGTAATAGTTCTGTCAAAGGTTGGGCACATGGCAGTTTGCTGGTAAACGTCTACTAAGGCAATTCATACATTTCAAAGGGCGCTCGTGTAGCCTAGTGGTTAAAGCGCTCGCTCGTCCTGCCGAAGACCCGGTTCCGATTCCCCACATGGGTGCAACAGTTGAACTTGTGATATTGCTGGAATATTGCTAAAAGTGGTGTAAAACCATATTCACTCACCCACACATTTCAAAATTAGTCTGTAATTGTGCGTGACAATGCAGTATTGGCATAGGTGTATGTGTGACACTTTTTAGTTTTATTTGTATTTGACATATTCCCGTTATATTGTCAGTTGGCCATTTTGTATGTGGCAAAACCCCTTGGTTAATACAATGTGTTGAACAATTTGTCACAATAATCAGAGACCTTGAAAGTCTTTCTTATTTGTACATCTTCCACACGTACTAACATTGACCCAGAAAGACCGCCGGAACCAATTAAGCTCTAATTATGAATATTATCATTGTAGCCTTACGCGTCCCACAAATAGGATCTATTCATAATCAGCTAGATTGGCTTTGTTACATATAACTTTTGTAATCAACCAAGAGCCAATAGTCCTTTGTGTAAAATGTCATGGAAAAGGATGCTTTTAAACTTCTTTTGAATAGGCCCATGTACAGCCTCAGAGGAATTCCAGCCAACAAACCTGATCTTGTCCTTTTTGATAAAGCTAATGATTTTATTTATGTTATTGAATTTTCTGTCCCTTTTGACAGCAATGTGATTGGCAAGATTCAGGAAAAGCATGATAAATATGCGGACCTTGCCTTTGACATGTCTCGCTTGCAAGTACATTGTTGTCAGGCTCCCCATTGTTCTCAGGGATATACGACAGTAGATAATATGTTAATACTACAAAGTATTATTCAAAGGTATTTAAACTCTAAAGGGGGGAAATTCTACGCATTATTTGTAGATTTTTCAAAAGCTTTCGATTCAATACAACGAAAAAAACTTTGGCTTCTTTTTAATACCCACGGTCTCAGTGGTAAAATGAGTAAACTTTTATGCAATATGTATGAAAATGTTAAGGCTTGCATTAAAAGTAATCATAATTATTCAGAAACATTCGACTTGCAACTTGGTGTGAGACAAGGCTGTATACTAAGCCCATTTCTATTTTCCTTTTTTATAAATGAGTTAGCACGACAAATCGAAACTAATTGTGTACACGGCATTCAACTCCACCCTGATATAGTTCATATTTTCCTATTGCTATTTGCAGATGACATTGTTTTGTTCTCAAGCACGATTAATGGCTTACAGAATCAAATTAATGAACTTGAAAGTTACTGCGATAAATGGAAATTAACTGTAAATAGAGAAAAAACGAAAATTATTGTATTCAAAATTGGAGGCAAATTGTCAAAAAAGGAAAACTGGTTATATAAAGGTATGCAGCTGGAGTGTATTGGCTTTTACAAATATTTGGGACTATATTTCACCGGTGGCCTGTCATGGACGAGGCATGTAAAATATGCAGCGTTACAGGGACAAAAAGCATTAATTGGAATTATGAAACAGTTGAGTGTACTTGGTAATATTAACTACTCTTCATTCTTTAAAATATTTGATGCCAAAGTCAGTCCAATTTTATCATATGGGGCCGAAATTTGGGGAATAACAAAATTTGACGAAATTGAAAAAATCCATTTATACGCATGCAAAAAGTTCCTCGGAGTTAAAATTAACACTATTAACGCAGTGATTTATGGTGAATGCGGAAGGTACCCATTGCACATTCTTACAAGCATTAAAGTTATTAAGTACTGGCTAAAACTGTTGATTATGCCTTCAAATCGCTTACCCAAGAAGTGTTATAATATGATGTTGTTATATGATAAAGGTGGACAAAAAAAACTGGGCAACCAATGTAAAAAACCTTTTATAGTCTATTGGTTTTGGAATTACATGGAATACACAATATGTCGAATCACCTACGTTATTCATACAATCCTTAACAACAAGACTAAAAGATATGTATATTCAAACATGGAGTGAAAGGATATCCTTATCAAATAAATGCATGTATTATTCATTGTTTAAAAATGCCATAGTTCTTGAGTCATATCTATCCTGTGTTAATGTTAAAAAGTTTAGAATAGCACTGGCACGATTCAGATGCTCTTCTCATGATTTGTTGATTGAAAGAGGCAGATATATGAATGTAAAAAAAGAAAATAGAATATGTACACTTTGTAATTTTAACGAAATAGAAGATGAATTACATTTTCTCCTAATATGTCCATTTTATGACCGGTTGCGAACAAAATATATTAAAAGATATTACTATGTCCATCCAAATGTGATAAAATTCTCCTCATTGTTAAGTAGTAAAAATCCAGTTCTTCTACAAAATATTTCAATGTTCATTTACTATGCTATGATTACCCGATCTAAATTCCTCTCAAATGTCACATAACTTTATGTACCATAGGCCTGTGGCCTTCTCAGTGCAAATAAAGATTATAATATTATTGTCAGTTGGCCATTTTTGTATGTGGCAAAACCCCTTGATTAATACAATGTGTTGAACAATTTGAGACAATAATCAGAGACCTTGAAAGTCTTTCTTATTTGTACATCTTCCACACGTACTAACATTGAACCGGAAAGACCGCCGGAACCAATTAAGCTCTAATTATGAATATTATCATTGTAGCCTTACGCGTCCCACAAATAGGATCTATTTATAATCAGCTAGATTGGCTTTGTTACATATAACTTTTGTAATCAACCAGGAGCCAATAGTCCTCTGTGTAAAATGACTTTCCACACACACGTCTCTTCCTTTCAAATCTCATCTAACAAAGATATAATGAATAATAATAATAATCTACTACCGTCTTCGCCTTGCCTGTGGCTTTGACTCCGAGGTCCATCCATGGTACGACCCTGAACATGGCCAGGGTGTCATGGAAAATGATGCTTTTAAACTTCTTTGGAATAGGCCCATATACAGCCTCAGAAGAATTCCAGCCAACAAACCTGATCTTGTCCTTTTTGATAAAGCTAATGATTGTATTTATGTTATTGAATTTTCTGTCCCTTTTGACAGCAATGTGATTGGCAAGATTCAGGAAAAGCATGATAAATATGCGGACCTCGCCTTTGAAATGTCTCGCTTGCAAGTACACTGTTGTCAGGCTCCCCATTATTCTCGGTACCCTTGGTTTGGTACCTCCTGATCTCTTGGCGCTGTGCCAAGCCCACCTGGAGCACAGCCCTTCTGACACTCTGGGTAATGCAGAAGTCTGCAGTGTTTGGGAGTCTACATATTCTCCGGATAGTTCTTGGTGGGTTCGACTAGGCAGCGTTTCCTGGGAGAAGTCCCATTAGCTGTCTCGGCTGCGTGTAGAAGGGGCAATAGTCTGACTCACAGTCCCTGAACCACATCATTTTCCCTACTGCCAAGCCCTCTCTGCAGTGCTAAAGCCCTAAATAAAGCAAGTCTAGATTCCCTCAGGTTCAGGATCTCTGGCCTCCCTGGGCTCCTTTTCAATTTAAATGGGCTTGTTTGTTACTATGAAAATTATATATATTCAGAGACAAAGCATTAGTCTAAGTGGGCAAGGGCCCTGAGCTGATGATGAGCCTTACCAACCTGACTGTGCCAGGATCACCCAAACCCTCTCTGCTGCATACTATCTTTAATCTATAAAACATAATAATAATCCATTTATCATGAATATTGCTCCATGCACAATGCATGCCCGTAGCGCCCACACAATCTGATTATTATTACCCCGGATAACAAATTGTGCCTGTTAGGCGCTAGAAGGTAAATAGTCAAATGAGTTTATCCCACCGAGTACCTATTTTCTGCTGGGTGAACAGAGGCAATTTTGTACAAACTCACTTGCCTAAGGTGAAACCACATGTATCACAAGTGCTTCGTTGTGAGGCAGGACCGAAGTCCTAGAAACTCTCAGGAGTCAAGCTGCCAAACACGGTCACCCATCCAAGGACTCTGAACTCTATTCATAGTACCACGTGCCACCACCATTAATGATTAGAACAATTACTGTTCTGTTCATTATTGTGTTGCAAACTCTTCTTATGCCGTTCTGAATAAGCCATAATTTTCTTTTCAAAAACTGAACAATAGATAACGTCTGATTTGCCTTTTCCCAACAAAGTAACAGCATCTGCAATTATCCGGGGAATTATATTTCCATTCTTGTTACAAAGGTTCACGAAAAAGAAATATCGGCTAAATTCTGCGTGCGTCAGACATCGTCGCTGACCTATCAATTCCTTTAAAAAAACCAAAACAATAGAAAACGTCTGATTTTACTTTCCTCAAAACAATAAACAGCATTCTCTATTATCCGGGGAATTGTGCTTCCATTCTGTACCATTCAAATGTTGCCAAGGAGCTTGAAACTGTCGGAGTGAACGTCCGGAGTTAGCGCCTCCCTTGTGACCGCTTACACCAGCCAGCAAGATAGTGTTTCTGAATATGTCTGTGTTTAACTGACATGATGAGTGAGTGAGTGAGTTTGATTTTACGCCGCTTTTAGCAATATTCCAGCAATATCACGGCGGGGGACACCAGAAATGGGCTTCACACATTTTACCCATGTCGGGAATCGAACCCGGGCCTTCGGCGTGACGAGCGAACTGACATAATGAATATCAACGGAATGTTGCAAAGCAGGCACCTCGCCTGTTGACTGCTGACACCAGCCAGCAATACAGTGTTTCTGAAGATGTCTGTCTTGAACTGACATGATGAATATCAACGGAATGTTGCAAAGCAGGCACCTCGCCTGTTGACCGCTGACATCAACTAGCAATACTTATTTCCTTCTGAATATGTTTGTGTTGAAATGGCATTTTGAATCATTTCCTTTGACAATGTAAATATTTTAGAATTTAACTTTGAATTAACAATGTCATTTTCTTGCCTATTTGTAATGGTGTAATGCAAGATCACGGCGGGGGACACCAGAAATGGGCTTCTCACATTGTACCCATGTGGGGAATCGAACCGGGGTCTCCTATAATGGTAGGAGTTCCTACAATGGTTACCCAACCACTGTGTACAGAGAAATTCCAAGCTTTATTTACTTGAAGAATGTTTGACATCATCAAAACTTGATATTCAGCAAACACTTAGTATGGTACACCCAGGGACCTCACACTGCCATATATTTGGTTTGAGCAGTATTTAGAAAAGACACGTCACGGAAAATAACCACGGGCGAGTGAAATCGCCTACAGTTGCAACAATAGGTGAAATGACGTCTTTCCGTTAAACACAATGTCAGAAGGGAGGTGTAATATGCTTAATAATTAATGATAGAGTTGAATTGAAAACCACGAGTGTATCATGTGTACAAAGGGAGAATCAGGAAGATAATAAGTAACGACATTGATTAATGCTCCTGTCCTTTAAAGAGGAAGAGTTACAAACAGCTGACAATCATAGCAAGCTTGAGTCATGCATACAAGATATTATATCTTTGATCTCTGTATGTCGGCATGTATTATGCATAATCATGGTAAATTACTCACATACAGACAACGTTTAACACATGACACTAATTACAACATCTTGACAAAAATTGTGATATATGACCCCGGAACCGACCAAGTAAGAACGGGGATTTTACTCCAATGCGATATGTCGTTGTGAAAATAAAATGTATCTGCCAGTTCTGAATGCAAGTAATAAATGCTGGGTCATTATGTTGTGAAAATTTACATACATTGTCGTTTCTGAGCGGCATGTTTACATCCAAAAGGGAGTGCCAACGAAGGAAGGAATCATCCTCGATATCTCGAGGGTATACGTTCCGATAAATCTCCACTATATACTGGAGATTTATAGGAACGTATACCCTGGAGACATCGAGGATGGGGAAGAATCAGCCGACATCAGATTTCTCCAGTTGTCAAAGTTCACTCAACCAGCGCAGTTCCGGGTTTAAATTGGTCTTCAGTAACCAATGTTTGTCATAAGAGGCGACTGACGGAATCGGGTAGCCAGGCTCGCTGTCTTAGCTGACACATGTCATCGTACTCCAACTGCGTAGATCGATGCTCATGATGTTGATCACTGGATTACTGCAGCTGGAATACTGTTGAGCGCGGCGTTAAACTACAAACCAACCTACCAACCAAAGTTCACTCAGGGTGATCTTGGTATCGTATCAGTGTGAGGGCGACAAGGTAGCCCTGTGGTTAAAGCGTTCTCCAGTCACGCCAAAAACTATGGTTCTATTCCCCAAATAGGCATAACGTGTGAAACCCATTTGTGGTGTCCCCTGCCTTGATACTGCTGGAATATTGCTGAAACCCAACCCACTCACTTTAATAAATCGGCATTCTGTGAGTCGTCTTTGTGTAGCTATAAACGAGATTTTATGGCGTTTCCCGGCTGTGAATCGTGTTTGTTTCAACTTGATTTTCAATTGTAGTTTTCTGGACATGTTTCAGATGTGAATCCTGCCAGCGCAACCTGGATGACTTGAATGCGCCGCCATGACAACATCCCGACTGCGATGGATTTGAACGCCGAGGAGTCTCATTTACTTAACCCTATTGATAGCAAATTAACTGCAGAGACAGGGATGAGCTCACTGAAATAGTTTGTGTGGTGTTTGGTAAATGAGCCAAGGGATGGATGTGAAAGCAAGTCCAGTAGAAACTCCCAAAAAGGTGTCCACACCATCCATTAATGCATACGTCCAATTTGTGGTGTACTCGCTCCTGACTGGTTCAAGCTGCCATTTCCCTTGGATTCAAACATATGTTATCCACAATGTAAAAGAGACATGGAACCAGTTTTCCAACTGTCAACATCTTTTCTCTAGTAGTTAATATATTCTTGTGTTTTGACATGTTTGGCTTCTTTGTTGTTTAACGAGATGAGTATAAGCTAAGTATACGCAGAGTGAGTGAGTGAGTTTAGTTTTACGCGGCTTTTAGCAATATTCCAGTAATATCACGGCGGGGAACACCAGAAATGGCCTTCACACATAGTTATAGTACCCATGTGGGGAATCGAACTTAGGTCTACGGCGTGACGAGCAAACGTTTTAACCACTAGGCTACCCCAAATATAAGCTGAAATGGTATGTTAGGCATCGAACTATAGTATAGTTAGGGGTAGAGTCAGTCCCAGTGACTCACTCATGGCCAACATTCAATCAACCTTCCGATCTCATGGCAGATAGTCCTATTTATTTGGCCGCCTTCCTGCAGTTTGGCGACATGTAAATGGCGAATTATAGTCAAACAATGTTTGATATCATGAGCAAAGTCTCACACCTTCGGATCAGATGACACGCAAGACACAAAACCTCTGAGGATGACCATTCTATCACCTTCGTCACCACTCGCCCCTTTCCGTAACCTCCAAGAGGAGGCTTGTCCCGTAACTACAAAAGTTGGTCACGAATTCGAATGCACACTATCACTAAGGTATATCCTCTCATGGCTGCCACCAGTCTAAGTAAACTTAGGCTCAGTATTATTCGTTACACTGCTATCTACTGAGTCAAACAAAACCCATTACACAGATGTACATTTAAGAGATTATTAATTGTACATGGACTAAGTTCCAACATTTTTATGCAGTCTATATCTTCAAACGGGTGTTCGAGACAAGCGCGTAACGTCTGCTATTATAAATACAAATATGGCGTGCGAAAACGATGTTTTTTTAGTCCACTTTCCTTTTTCTGTTTTATAAATAATTAGCATTAGAATTCTATAACAGTTTTGCATATTCAACTACATCCTGTAGACTGAGGCTTAGTCCCTGAATATATATAATTTTGATAATAATAAATAAACTCATTTAAATTGAAGAGGAGCCCAAGTGAGTTGGGAGATTCAGGACCTGAACCTGGGGACATCTACACTGGTTCAGGTCCCTCTCCTCCTATTAGTGTGTGCAGATGATAGTATTGCGTACTAAAGCACAGCTAAAGTACTGTCGCAAATAGAAAAAAACAGTTTTTAGGCTGTTACTCTGTAGCCCTAAAATGTACACAATTGCAAATAGCACATGTCGAAAAACCCCACATCGGCCTAACTGGGAGTTCAGTGGGATGCGTAATAGGATATCCAGAAAAGCATGTTTACTCGTAAAATCGGGCAAAACTTAGAAAAAAATTCGAATAGCTGCTGAAAACAATAAATCAGACTATACATGGCAATTAGGTCGCTCAGTCAGGTAGGACTACGGACCATCGACTCACCTGGCATGAAATGCACGTGCTGCCTACAGCATCTTAAAGATATTTGATGCCTTTACTTGGGTGTTGAATATGTCGCATCTATTGATTAACATCTTACGTGTATTTCTTTCATAAAGTTTATGTTCTGATATGTAAAAGAGTATGATACTCGTAGAAAAGCATAATCAGTCATCGTATTAATTGTCTCAAAATATATAGGTGGCATGACGACCCGAAGATCGACAGGACTGGATATTATTTGTAAATTGTTATGGCATGCCGCTTACTTCCCCAGTTTAATTCCCCAGAAGGATCATCTTATCTTAGCTGATATCTCTATACCCCAGGCCGACCCAAAACCACCGTCTCCGACACCCGTCCTTTTTTTGCTTTTGAGACGACCCCTCCTACGTGTTTCTTTATATAGTGATAGTGAGACTCCATAGTAGCTACATCCTTAATAGTTTCAGCATAAAAGTTATTATTTTTTTACGTTAGCTATCGTTTATAATGAAGCTAAGTCTAATTTCAAAATGGGTATTTAAAAAGTGTCCTTTGTAATACAATATCATCGCCCTCTAATTTGCATAAAGCCATGGTCTGTTCCAAAATAAGTCGATTTGGACTTAGAAAAACCGCATTGCCCATTTCTGCACTAATCTCTCCTGAGTAAAATCCTTCTTTTACATTTCCTATCTCCCTCCCACTGCGACTGTAGTTAGGCCGAACTTAGTTTAACAGATATTTCACACTTTCACATATTATCTACGTAATTGTAGATGTAAATGTGAAATAACAGTTTTTTTCTATTTCCAACAGTACTTTAGTGACATGCAGAAGCAAACAGTAAGGCAATTATTGTGAAAAATGGAAGTCTTTGTAAATAGAGTCAACTATAAAATTATTCGTTCCCAACATGTCTTGAACTTGCCAAACATGAAAAATGGTCCCTAAAATGTCTTAAGTTTGGATATGGCTAGATGCTATACATGTTTGGGTGTCCATTTCAGTAATGATCTGGGTCCTGGCAAAGGAAGCGCCCGTCCAGGCCACTAGGAATGTATGTGGAATAATGAAGATTCGTATTCTTGTTAATATAAGTTAGAAGTCATTCGTTCTGATTTCTGTTGTCACAGAAGTCCAGTTTTACTTTACGATCCTACAATATGAGGAGTAAGACAATGCAGCCACATCATAAAGGTTCACTTCTACACTTATATGTATATGAACCGACTCATAGGGGCGGTGGGATAGCCTAGTGGTTAAAGCGTTCGCTCGTCACGCCGAAGACGCGGGTTCGATTCCCCACATGGGGTACAATGTGTGAAGCCCATTTCTGGTGTCCCCCGCCGTGATGCTGCTGGAATATTGCTAAAATCGGCGTAAAAAACCTCAGTCAGTCAGTAATACTGGTCGGCTTAGGCCCCTTGATAGAAGACTGACTGACTAAATCGAAGCGGCAATGCACAACATGACATTTTACGAAACTTCAAATAATTGCACGCTCACTGAAAGTGCCAAATCGGTTCAGCTTTCGCCGTATCAAATTGATATAATTGACGAAACCGTTTTATGTCACCCCTGATACGACGTAAATTGTAATAAAGACGCAAATTGTAAAAAACTTAACGTAAATTGTAATAAAAACGTAAATTGTAATAAAATTGACGTAAATTGTAATACGCAAATTGTAATAAAAATTGACGTAAATTGTAATAATTTTCGTTGCGGTAAAATGTAATAAATAAAAATTGACGTAAATTGTAATAATTTTCGTTGCGGTAAAATGTAATAAATATTTACGTAAATTGTAATAACAGTTTTAATCACTCGTAAATACGCGGGTGTTTCTTTTTCGTTGCATTTCATACATCAAATAAGCTTGTTAGGGCGATAACTCAAGAAAGAAATGACTCACCGACACAAGTGAAATGGAGTGACCTTGAGATAATTTTCAAGGTCACAGCAAAAATCTGAGGGTTTTGCCAATATAAAAATTGTTAGCGCGATACCCAAGAAAGAATTGACAAATCTTAGCTAAATGACGAAAATGATATTCGTCCTGATATATAATCGATATAAAATCTCTGACTGTCCTCTGTATCATGTCTTTTCGCAAATATCTTTTGAGGTTTTGATATGTATAAATATAAAGTGGGGTTGGGGTGGGTTTCTAACGGGTATATCAAATCAAATCAAATCAAATCAAATTAGACATTTATATAGCGCTACATATCCAGAGTCCTGCTCATGTGCACTTAGTCGAATGCTCCTTTGAAGAGGGTGGTTTTGAGACAAGATCGGAAACTGTATGTTGATATTTTCCGATTTTCTGACATTTTCAAGTAATCAATTCCAGAGTACAGCACCCGGTCTGCTAAATGATCTGTCTCCGTACTTGTGGTTCGGACAAATGGAATAGCCTAGCTGACTAGCAATGAAATGCATCACAAATTAAACTTCAGGAAACAAAATATGCAAGAAACATTTTTGTATGTTTGAGATTGGTAGAGGTCGGCTAGAATCAAACGTAGATATTAAACTGCACAAAAAGGCAATTTGAAACTACAATCGCTTGTTCAAATGACTCCCCCTTCGGTTTACTGAAAGAACTCGAGAAAGAAATGATGGATTTTGTTCAAATTTGGTACCAAGGTTTATTGACGAGATGTACCGACACCACTTGAATTTAGTGACATTGAGGTCATTTTAAAGGTCACAGCGAAGGTGTAACAGTTTTGCACATGCCAAGCTTGGTAGCCGCGAACTTAGGAAGAATTAATAGATTTTGATCCAATTTTATATCAAGGTGTATTGGCGGGAATCCCCTACACCAATTGAATCAAAATATGCAAAAAACATGTTGTATGTTGGTAAAAGTCAAACTTAGATATTAAACTGCACATAAAAGCAACTTTAAACTCTAATCGCTTGTTCAAGTGACTCCCCCTTCATGTTTACTGAAAGGGCTTGTTTTGGAGACACTACTCACCCCCTTTCAGTTGACGTCATCATAAGAATATAACTCATCCTAAAGTTTTCACTTATTCATACATGGTGTCAAGGGTTCAAACTAAATACTGAATGGTCACACAAGTGTCAGCTCTCAATATGTTGTATATCTGGACACAATGTTTTTGAAAATTTAAAATGAGGGTGTCCTAAAAATACAGTCCCCGTCTATATGTAAATCAAGCAATCCAAATCTTTGAATGTTGATGATGACGGGAATTCATCCAATACTATGCTGAACATATTTTATATGATACTATCTCAGGGTATACCATTATAGTGAAAGCCCTGTTTCGAGGAGGCGCCGAGGTTCGGTTCCCGAGATGGGCACATTTGCGTAGTATCCTTGGACAAGATACTTAGATCTACACTGTCTCAGTTCACCCAGCTGTAAAATGGGTACCCGTGAGTATATGCTGGCAATGTGAGTGTTAAGTTCATTGCGCCTAACAGGCAGCATGGCTGTACAGTCCCCAGGGAGTTGAAAAAGTATCGGAAACTACGATAGTGTCCTATGATCGGGGATAGTAATGTACGTAGCGCCGTGAGCAGGCAATGTGCCTGGATGTGAGCGCCATATAAGCGGACTATTACTATTACTAGATACCTAATGGGAGATCGTTTTCCATTTTCTGCAAATTT